ACCGCAAATATGACATTTCATAGCAGTAAAATAAAACTTGGATGGTACTTAGTGATATAAATAATGATGAAGGCAAGCGCACCTCCGAAACGTCGACAAACTTGAAACGACGCATTGTCTCAGAAGGCTGTGTCATCTTGAAGGACACTGTACGAAATTTTATCGAGAGTATCTCGAAGTTCGAGAAGGGCACGGTCATTTGTCTGATTTTGCGTACAAAAAATCACCAAATGGCCTATATCCTGATTACAATTCGAGGCACCACTCCAGAGCAATGAGCTCATTTCGTAATGGCCTGATAGGCAATAAAGTTAAACAAAAATATACCCACTTGTGTTGCGCACGCAACTCAAGACAATTTCCGTTTCCCCTCTCAGGGAGTTCCGGTTTGGTCCAGCCAACCAGGAAGCGGAGTCACCCTGTCACAATGAGAGGCGTGCATGTCTACGGGGAACCAATCAGGGAACAGCAGGCTGAACACCAAAATGTGTGCCTGCAGTGTGCACATGGAACACATCTGCAGCCTTATCTGGACGGCGTTACTCGGTTGATGCAAAGCCAACTCCTCGTTTTAAAAAAAATCCTTCGTCAAACAAAAATTAATTTTACACAAATCTGAATGCAATATAATAGAAATATGGTGACATTAAATGTCTCAAAGAAGAAGAATATTATCCTGTCATGGAGGTAAAGATCCAGCTATTTTTGCCCCCGGCATACAACGCAGGTGTGACGACTAGCTTGTGTGCTCCAGAACAGGTCTGCAGGCCAACTTGGTGACATAGAGGAAAATTCCTCCACATGCCAGAAATCGGCCCCCAGCAAAGAAAAAAAATCCTTAAACATGTATCCGTGGTATTCCTAATTTTGGTGCTAACGGCACACTTGGCAAACCTAACCTAACTTTTGTGGCAAATTACGCTTAGAACAGAGAAATAATATTTATAAGTACAAGTGTTTTTAAACACCTTTACACCGTCACATTTTCTTGTAACAAATGTACAATTTTCAGCGCGCATTGCTTCTAGTAATCTTTTTTAATGGAAATTGTTTCCAATATTACCCTCAGCAGAACCTGTGTCTGGACTGGCTGACCCAGAAACTTGCGTAAACACCCAAGATTCACTTAGCACTCGTGTTTACCTCAAGGCGATCAATTCTGGAGTTGTTATGCACCAACCAAACAACACAGAATTCTATTAGCCTATAATTGTGCAGATAGGCGTCATAGAAATTACAACTACAAGTAGCTGTTATTGCAGTTCGTTGTTTTTCTCGTGTACAAGTGCGAAGGGCACGTCACATGCCGATTGGCCCAGAGACGATCTTGCCTGGAGGAGCTGAGGAAACACACGAGCCTCTTGGTTAGTGACCACCAGGCAAACGCATAGGTGAGATTTGAGTGTAGATATGGCTGTCTCCATCATCTCTGAAACGTCGGTAGACTTCTACTAGACTACACGAAGCAACATCCGAAAGACCTAAATACTTAATGAATTTCTTAACTACTCTAAAAACTTCATTTCGCTGTGTTAAGTCTAATTCAGTAGGTAATTTAAGAACCACGTATTACCTGCAGAGGTCAGACAAATTTCAAGTCGAATTAAATAAGAATGATTTCTAATAAGTCTCTGAACAATGTAAACGCTAAAAACTGTAATCTGTAAAAATGTTGATTAAACTTTGCTTACAACCTTAAAATATAAAGTTGCTTAAAGAATTGGCGCGATCAGTTCCACATGTGGAACTAAAAACATTTTTACACAATTTTCCTTCGGAAACTCCTTCATGTGAAATAAGTGTCTCGGATTTGCACAAAGCCATATGCAGGTAGACCTTTTGTAAGACGCTATAATGAAATCGTCGCCTGCGTGTAGAGATTAATGCGAATAAAACTAGGCAGTAATCATATGACCGTAATCAAATGTCACTCGCGATGTTCCCGCCCGGCCTTGTTTGACAGTCAGTGACGCGAGGGACCACACATGAGTAATCGTCAAGTGGACTCACCCCACCCAGTCTATTGTTTAGTGGCCCCTCTGCAGTGTGAGACGGGGTCTTGGGGCTCACAGCGGAGCGAAGGGGGAGGCGCCCCTTCCCATGTAAGAGGTTCATACTGACCAGCGAAGCAAATAACACTGGCTCGTTCATCTGTAAAACACTGCTAGCTCCCCCCGGTGGTGAGAAAGGGAAGACAAGCTAAAAGCTACCCAGGCCTAAGCCTGCAATAATTCTACTCGTTAAAACAAAGCTGAAGCAAATACAGTTCGTGCAAGTTAAACCTTGGGCAAACCTGCACCGGGTATTATTACGGTATTAACAGATTCGATGCGACGAGGAGAGGGTGGAAGAGAGTCAAATGAAATACATCACGCAGAATGGGCTTACAGGCACCTCACAAACAAGTAAAATTGGGGGAAAATTTAAAAGCCTCCTGGTTAATAGGAGTCGGAAAATCAAAAGCGATTCAACCGCGCAAAATTTTCTGTTATTTACGTCAAGTTTCTTAGATAACGCGTTATAACTGGAATCTTTTTAGTATTCTGCATGTCGCAACTACATTTTAGTCCACTTTATTGTTATAGACTACTTTTTCAATGGGACTGAGTATTCTTGGGAAAGTTTTGTCTTAGTCAAGAAATTCTCTAGACTCTACGAAACACGAATCAGCCCCCGAACAATGAGTAAATCTAAGTTTTGTCCAGTTACTGTGATGTGTTCATTGTTGAACACTCCAAACGTGTTCAAAGGCGACACCAGAAACTATCTTCAGTGGTACAATGTCACAATGATGTAGTGGGGGCTGAAAACATTGAACAAAGTTATAACAGGACAGAATGACATTTATTTAATGTACACTGGACTCCCGATTAACCAGGGACTACGTGGTTTAAAGGAAAAGCAAAAATTAATTTAGAAAATCTGTTTTAAACGAAAGTTTAAAAAAGCAATAAACACAACAATGAAATTTTTCAACGTATTACTATCAACCAATTGATGCTAAAACCTGATGTTTACGACAATATAACGTTGCAATATTTTTTACAAAACAGTTGGCATGCACTGCATTCTATTTTACATAAAATCCTTCGTTATTAGAAAACATTTAAGTAGCGTAATATCTGTAAATAAAATTACGCATTTGTTACATTTTTTGCAATTATTCGGGATAATCCAGAGTCTACAGTACACTATACGGAAAGACGTAAATCCCAATGGCAAACGGAGCAATTTAATATGCAAAACTAAGTTTAATTTCCCATTTGGAATATACAGGCCTATAGGCCTAGGCTTATATATGGGTTCAGCCTTGCATTTACACAATGCGGAAACGTCCCCCAAGAATGTTCTGAGATTCCAAGCAGACGTTTTGTATAAATGTCTCGTCTTCTCCATAAGTGAGGAACCTGTAAAACAAATCTAAAATGTGGTAGGTCCACACAGCTGAGTGGTTCCCGTCCCCAGAATCCCTGCTGGGGTCACATTTTGCATGCCTAATTCGCATCAGGACCACCTCAGACTGCACCGATTGTACCGAATCATCTGTCTGTGTGTTCTGAAGTTCACTACCAGGGGATCTACAACTGTGGTCCCTAACCTTAACTTTTCCCCACGCGATCAAGATCTCACGAAATAAGCCTAAAAAGCAAATCTTTCGTCGCTCTAAAGAAGACGGAATATTTCCGTTCACACGCCGTCTGTCTGGCGGAACACCGTTAACACTTGACATCAAACGAGGCGAATAAATACGTTATAATAGTTAGCAAGTTTAACACAGTCCGCAAATTCTCATTTCACATCATCAACTCCCATCTGTATGCGATCTTTTCAGAAAGTGCAACTTCTTGCATGTTCCATCTCTTTAAAAAAAACTCTGCCAGATTCCTCTAAAACCGATCGCTGCATACAATTAAGTTTTATAAAAAAAAAAAGTTGCCATGAGAGGATCATTGGCCCTCGGGTCCAACTGGAGAATTTTTTTTTTTTTCGAAAACTTTGACATAGACTAACGTAGCATTTATTAACACTTGGTCCTTTAGAGTGGCATTTCATTTTAATGGCGTCACCAAGACGACCGCTGTTTATAATGAGTTTAATGTATCAGAAACATGAACCCAGGGAAACCGTATTCTTAATTAGATTAGCGTGTTACGTAACCTCGTATCTTGGCGAGGAGGTGGTCCTGTGTCTTAGCGGTCGGCTGTGGATTCTTTATCCACCTCAAATATTTGCTTAAGATTACAGATCCCACTTAATTAAAAATACAGCAACGAGCCATTAGTCTGAGCCTTTGAATCGTAACGCAACGTGACACAGTCCACGGTTCAGACATTTACGAACAAAACCTCTAGTTTCGAAATTATTTTATAATTTAAATTAAACTTTGTGACGGCAGGGTACAAGTAAGATCTTACTTCCTCACCTGCACACAACACACTACATTTGAAAAGCAAAGGAGTAACGAACAATATCGTGTTGAAGACTACTGTCGTCTGTTCTGTCCTTGCTGCCTCCATCATCAGGGCGATAAGCACCTCTAGAAAGGTCAGACAATTTATACGAGAATGACGCAACAACCCAGAAGACAGTCATCTTCAAACACCCCGCCGTGAGGTCCTGAAATCTCACAATGTTACTGAAAAATCTTAATCACATCCAAAAACCCGAGGTCCGCGACTAAATTAGGACCGTCGCTGGCACAAATTATGTTCGGTTTACGACGTCTGTGGAATTAAATTAATGCTCCATGTTGTTTTGAAGTCAGGAATATTCCGAAAACTTCTTACAACAGGACGGCGACGAGGAAGACACTGAAGTGACAGGGGTTCGAGTCTCAGCGTCACTGATTCGACGATGGTTCTAATAATTTTGCTCATAATTCTGCTACAACCACAGGTTCAACGTAAAATTGCAACGACGTCGAAAAAATACTGAAAAATAACTTTTTTTACACAAGAATAACACCAAATGATTCAGACGAAACTGAAACAAATCAGGACTAAAATAATACAAAAACATTTTTATTTTTGTACAAGAAATAAAGACAGGCTTTGAAAAATCTGTCAACAAGCCGTAAGAGGGCACATCAATTGTAGAATATACACAATTTCTTCTGCATCGATCTTCTGTGTAGACAGTACAAATACACTACAGTTTACGCTGTAACAAAGATACGAAAGCAAAAGTCTTGCGCAGCTAAAACGTCTGTCCGTCCGTCCTTAGCGACGGGCGTTATAGCGACCGCCACCTCCGCCGCTCCTTCCGCCCCTACCATGGTAGCCACCCTACGCAAAACAACAACAGTACAGGCAACCTTCTCGCCTTCACATTCCCCCAAAACACTCAGGCTCACAAACGACGGATGGAGATGAAGCAGAAGATCGGAAAGGAGGAGACCAGGAAACAAAGATAAGATAAACGGGATGGAGCATGCATGGCAGAGATAACGGCGTAGATAAGAAGATAATATTAAAGTTGTTAGATAAACATATTTTTTTAAATATGGACAGGACTTCTACCTGAAATAGATCTAATGGAACTTCAAGAATAAGAAGAAATATTACACTAGATTACTGCCCCTCACTTCTGAGCACAAAATACGACAATAAGACAAAAACGTGCATTATGAATTACACAGACGCAATTCTTAAGACGGGGAACGAAAAATGCCTGGTGTATAAAGCGGCTACCTAACATCAATCCTGGAAGAAAGCGAAATTTAAATACGAAAACAGCGAATTTCTGCTTCATCCACGGCCTGCTGGTAGAGAAATGCTCGTTTTTACTTACGCGTCTGTTCTGGTGGTCATCAGGGAATGCCCCATAGTTGTGTGATCGCCCCTGCACGAATCCGGGCCTGTCAAAGGAAAACAAAACACCAAATCTTAAATACGACGTGGCGTGAGTCATAATGAGGGACCGAACTGTAGGATTTCAGGATTTCACGGCGGTGGGTCCGAAGATGGCCATTTCTGCGTTGTAGAGCCGTGAAGTCCATCGCCCTGATGATGGAGGCAGCAAGGACCCCCGAAACTTCGGTAAACTTCTACCACACTACACGGCACAACAACCCAGAAGACAATCATCTCCAGGGACTGAATTATTTTGCAACATAACATAGACATATAAGGTCGCGAACGATGCAGATGCACCACTGATGATGATGATGATGATGAGGCAGTGAATGGGCAAGGAAACACAATTTTACTCGAATACAAGTTTTAAAGAGTTTCATTTTCCGGTCTAATTATTTATAAACAGATAAAACCGGTTCGTAATTTGTATTGAAACATCTAAATTACAGCGTGAAGTGGGAACTACATTGAAAGCAAATTTATCTTTCAAAATGACCTAGGGCTTTCACGAGATAAATCGATAGTGTTAATAAACAGAAATGCAAACAAATTCGAGAATAATTTCAACCGCACAAACAGCGAAACGT